TGCATCACAACGACGGCATCGGTTTCTTCCTCATTACAAATGGCGCTGTCTACATAGACAACATTGCGCCCACTGTTTGCTGCACCCAACACGATGCGGTGCGCTGCGCGCGCTACGAGCTGAAGCTGCTCAAGACGCGTGACTTTGCCGACTTGCTCGAGTTCGTCGCCGATGACAGTCAGTCACCCACCGCCGATGATTTTGCGCAGGTCGGAACTGTCCACAAGACGGTCTCTGAGAGACAGGCTGCGGTTGTGGCCGAGATCGTCGTCTCCCAACGCGTCATCAAGCGGATCGACAACCTTGTCACCGAGGCGCTTCTCAAGGCCTTCTTTTCCGACGACGCACTGCGGGCCATCTACCGCGAGAAGGCCGACAAGATCAGTGGCGCTGGTGGCACTTCCGTTGCCCTTTTGGCTGCAATCCGCTCCGACATTGCTGGAGTTCGGCCGAAGCTCCAGAAGATCGTCCTCGAGACTGTCGGCGTCAAGCCTTTTCTAGCTGCTGGTTTTGGCACTCAGAGTGGACGGATCCACTCCGACTTTCGGCGGCGTTACCTCCGCCTCACCCGGGCCAACGATTGGCTCGAGGACGAGCGGCTCAATTCCACACAGCTTACTGCGCTCCTCCGCAAGTTCCTCTCCGAGCTGACCAGTGCGTCTTTCCGATCCGACGTCGACGCCGCGCTGAACGCCATCGTCTGCGCGATGCGCAGCGCCGTCATCACGGACATGGATGAGGCCGCGGTTCTTGAGGGGGTCGGCAACGCCAATGAGGATGCCGACACCGCTGATTCCGAGTGCCGGTCCCTGCTCAGCGCCATCGTTGAGGTCTGCCGCCGGTACGATCGGGACGGCATCACGCTTTGCGCTAATGCCCGGGGCGCTGGCCCCGTCGCGCGCGCCGCCGCCGCCGCTAGCACTGGCCGTGGGGCCGACAAGGCCGGCGACGATGACGAGGACCCCCGAGTTGCCAGGATTGTCGAGCTGCTTACCGCTTCCTTCGCTTCTGCCCAACAACGGCGGACGCCGCGGGAGACTGCGGGCGCCGACACCACCGGCGGTGCTCCCCCTGCCCGACGCCCCGCGACGCGCGACTGCTCCATCTGCCTACTCAAGGGTAAGGGCACCTTCCAGCACTATTACGACGAGTGCCCTGAGCTCAAGGGGCTTACCCCGGAGGCCATCACTGCTCTCAAAAAGGAGGCTCGCGCCGCGGGGCACGACTCCTGGTGGACTGAGAGGGAGGCCAAAAAGGAGGCGAGGAAGGCTGCCGACATTGCCGACTTCTTCACGAAGCCGCTCAAACCCCAACGCTTCTTCGAGCTGCGGGACAAGATCATGAATGTCAAGGAGCCTTCCTCCCAGTCGGATGGGAAGTGAATCTCCGTCACCGATCCGTCACCGAGACGGAGCGCGGGCGCCGGCCGCGAGCGCGAACAGTGCCGCCCCGCCCCCACCCGCGAGAGCCATAGACTCTCCAGTGCATGTCATCCAGTCCATGCCCCGTCGAGAGGGACACTCTCCTCTCTATCCATGTGAGTGACTCGACTACGTCGAGGGGGGGGACGTCTGAACCACACGTGTCCCTCCATTCACACTCTCCCAGTCCTTCCTGGTCTAGTGCCCGTCTTCTCCGCCCGTCGTGCTGAGTTGGTCGCACCTTCGTGCTTTCTTCGTCCTTCAGACGTTTCACCTAGAGCAAGCAGGGCGGAACGCCCCTTGGTCCACCCGCCACCCGGGTGGGGCTTGCACGTCCTGGACATGTCTATCAGAACTTCCTTGGGGGTGGGGAGTCGCTAAACATATTCCCCGGGGCGGTCGCCGTCCCCGCTGCCGCCCCCGGGGCGGTCGCCGCTGCCGCCCCCACAGGGCGATTTCAGCAAGTTTCATTATGAGTCGCCAGTTCGAACTATGAGTTGTCGATTCGACTCTCGGGGCCGCAGCCGTTGCTGCCCCCGCCCCCCCCTCGGGTTCGTCAAGCGCCCGCCGTTTAAGTTTCGGGCGCTCATGCCTAAGTGAGGGTGTGAACGGGACTACGCCCCTCCCTGAGAACGAGCAGGGAAGTGCTAGAATCATCTAGGAGGGAGGCCCCCCCCCGTTTGACCCGCGGATACTCCCTCTCGCGCCGGTTCGGCACGCGGGAGATTGCGCTTCGCAACACAGCCCGGCCGCGAACAGCCGGGTGCAGACACGGCGCAGACAGGCAAGGCGGTGCCGCCCCGCCGTCGTAGCCATGCCAGTCCTCCTGCTCCTCCTGCCCATCGCGCTGAGACCGACAGCACCTGGGAACCGAGCAGGCTTCGTGCAGATGGTGCAGCCAACTACACGGCCCGGTGATGGTGGCGCCGCGCGACCTCCGGCTGTGGCAGCGCCGGCTGGCTTTGTCGCGCCCAAGCCAAAGCCGCTCTCGATGACCCGTCCCAAGGAGCAGCTGCCGTCGCTGATCACCGGTGGACTTGCTCTCGCCGTCCGGCTGGCAACAGGCGTGTTCACACTCGGCTGGACGCCCAGACTGCTCACCGGCGACGACGCTGCGGCGGTCGGAGTTGAGTCTGGCACATACGGCTTTCGCGTCGGCCCGGTCGCCTTTCGCGATACTTCGCCGCTACTAGCGGAAGCGGTGCGGCCGGAGGAGCCGCTGGTGCTGTACGAGTACGAGGGTTCGCCCTTTTGTCGGAAGGCGCGTGGGGCGGCCCTGCTGCACCTGCCGCCAACTCACTGACGGCTTAGAGTGGTACGGATAGGTGCGCGAGGCGGCGCTGCTGCTCGACCTGCCGCTCGCCCTCCGCCCTTGCCCCGGCGCGAGGGCGGGCTTCGCATCGGAGCTGCAGGACATGACTGGCCGGCGGACCGTCGCCCGTGCCCGACCTCCTTCTTGACCGGCAGACGATCATGAGTAGGAGCGGACCGGCCGGATGACCGTCCCGTTCCTGGTGGACCCAAACACGGGCACCGAGATGTTCGAGAGCGACGACATCGTCGAGTACATGCTCTCGACCTACGGACCGCCCAGAGCCGCGTACGACCCAAAGGCTCTCTGGCCGCTGCGGGGAGGCTTCCAGGTGGCCACCGCCACGCTGGCCACGCTGCTGCGAGGCCTCGCCGGCTCGCAGCGGCAGCCGAACGCGCGGCCAGACAACGAGGCGATGCAGCCGCTGCAGCTGTGGGGCTACGAGCCGTCGCCGTTCGTCCGCCCGGTGCGGGAGAAGCTCTGCGCGCTCTGCTTGCCGCACACTCTGGTGCCCACGGCGCGCGGCTCCGCCAACCGGGACGCGCTCGTGCGCAAGACGGGCGTCCAGTTCCAGGTGCCGTACCTGGTCGACCCAAACACGGGCGTGGAGCTCTTCGAGAGCCCCGAGATCGTCGAGTACCTCGAGGCGGTCTACACCGTCCCGTCGCGCTGAGGCGACGGCTGGGACGTGCTGGGCGAGGTGGGGCGACGGACTGATGGTGTCCGACTCACTCCGCGAGGACGTGTGACGTGAACATGACTCATGTGTGCACCGCACCCTTTTCGAACCATCCTCGTGTGGTCAAGAAACGGAGAGACATGTAGCATGCAGGTTGCAGTCTGTATATAGAGAGAGAGCATCTGCACCATACAGACCCTCTCTGCACACACAGTGCACTCTTGGGTGGGATTATGTACTCCGCACCTGCATTGTGCATTCTGTACGACTCTTTTTTTGGCCTCTCCTACCTATATTGGGCGAGTTTTTGCATTCTGCACCTGCATCATGCATATTGGTACTCTGTCCGCTCTCTCCTGGCTGTGGGTGAGTTTTTGCATTCCGCATCCTGCATCCTGCACGTCTCTCACAGGAGCTGTAGATCTAGCTTTTGGGCCCGCTTCTGCATTCTGCATTCTGCATCTGCATCCTGCATCGGGTGCAGTTCACAGCTTTGGGGCCGATTCTGCATTCTGCATTCTGCATCTGCATCCTGCATCGGGTGCAGTGCACAGCTTTGGGGCCGATTCTGCATTCTGCATTCTGCATCTGCATCCTGTGAGGGGAGGAAACGGGAACATATGTGCGATTCATAATAGTACAACACATATAAGTCCGTTCCGGACACCAGGGTTTAATCTGCGCTCCTTTTTTGCATGGACAAGTCTACGGCTATGAAAGTTCGCCAGAGCTCACACGCTGTTCCCTAGGCCCTGCCGGGGGCTGCTATGTGCGACCGCCGGGCCGCGTCGCGCCGTTGGCGCTCCTCAGGAGGTGATAGCGCGGAATGCAGAATCGGCCATCGAATCGGCCCCAAACAAAGCTGTGCACTGCACCCCATGCAGGATGCAGATGCAGAATGCAGAATCGGGCCCAAAGCCAGATGCCTTGCACCCGATGCAGGATGCAGGATGCGGATGCAGGATGCAAAATCCGGGCTCAAAGCTGTGAGCTGCACCCAACGGACAAACTCTTTGGGTCTGATTTTGCATCCTGCATCCTGCATTCTGCATGCTGCACATACAGAGTAATCATTTTGGGCTGGGTTCTGCATTCTGCATTATGCATCTGCATTCTGCATTTTCAGAGAAATACAGAATGTAGAATCAGTCCGTCTATGCAGAGGCTAATCCATGCAGACTGCAACCTGCATGCTACAAGAGTGGAAACGGATGTGCGTCTCGGACCGTGTCCGACACACAACACAGTCACACTCCGTTTGTTCGTAATACTTTTCGTGTATGACGTATGCCTGGGAAGTGGGATCGCGGTCGGCGCGACCACACACCTCGGTCCCGTCGGTCCTCGGACCTAGCAGCTAGCTGGGCCTTTCTTGTGTTCTACGGCGTGCCCGGTTTTCTTGCTAGGTATTTTTTTGCTAGAGTATACACAAGAGACTTGCGCCATGCTTCTGACAGCCTGCCATGACTCTCATAAAGCCGTATTACAATTTAATATATTCTGCTCACCCCCGGACGCTGCAGCCCCGAGGCGAGTCCTCACACTGGACACTGGACAACGTTTTGGAATCGGCCTGCAGCCTTAACGCTTAAGCGATCGCCTGAGCGCCATGCCTCGAGCCACGCTGGCCCTCCCTCCCCTCGCAGACCGAACCCGCGTTGCCTCCAACGTCGCCCCCAACGATGGCCACCTTTCGCCATGCCGGGCCAAAGGCGTGGATCCAGAGACAGCAGTAGGCAAGCGAGGAGAGCGGCAGGAAGAGGGCGCAGAAGTCGCAGCCAAAGGCGGCGCCGATGCCGTAGAAGAGGCAGACGAAGGGACAAAGGGTGAGCAGTGGCAGGTCCGAGGCGTGGGCGTGGGCAGGCGCCTGCGGCGCGAGAGCGGAGGGGCTAGGGTGGGCCGAGGCGGGAGGTTGCGCCTCGGTCCGCATGCGAGTCCTGATCATCGTCGCCGCCGCACCAGCGAGTCTCGAAGCGGACATTTCTGTACGGCGACTTGCAGATCGCGCAACAGCTGCTGTGGCTCTTCACTTGAGCGATGAGGCGCCGCTGGCACGATGCGTGCAGGTGGAGGTCCCGGCAGTCGCAGAGATCGGTGAGGAGCGGCTCGGTGCTTGAATCGCCGGCGCAGACGAAGCACTGCGCCATGGGCGGCGGCGGATATTCCAACCTCTCCGTGGGTGCCAAGCGAGGGCCTAGGCGGTGCCTGCGCGTTTATTTTTTTGAGAGCGCCTTCGTTGTTAATAATACAAACCCAATGGTTTTTTTCGAAGAGCAAGACGTTCAAAGCACTGGGCTGAACGATGTGTATCCATAGCCGCGAAAGAATTCTTGCTGTGCGAGTGCCATTCTGTAAAATTCCTTGGGCTCGTGTGATCGCTACTGAGTAGAATTCTTCCTTAGATCATCGGTCGTCCAAGAATTCTTCCTGTGCTAGTACCATTCTTATAAAATTCTTGGGGTCCTTCTGATTCTCGAGGTTCTCGAGGTGGATATCCTTTGTTTGGCCGCGTTGGGTAGCGAGGATTGGTGTGACGCGATCCACGCAGGCGTGTTTTCTGGCGGCCGACCGTCAGTGCACGGAGTTGCCCCTTCTCCGACTGCCCCGGCTAGTTCACGAGTTTCGCGGGAGTGACCCCATGCTTCTGATTCACACGTGACGCAGAGTTCTTCCTTAGGTGATCGATTGGCCGCTTCCTCCTCCTGTACGTAAGAGCCACATACATTGAAAATTCACTCGCGTTAGAATTCTTCCTTAGATCGACCGATCGTCCAAGCCCGAGCCGCCGCGACGCCGCTGGCGGCATCAGAGGCCTGTTTTTGGCTCCGTCGCAGCGGCTGAATGCCCAAGGGCACCGGTAGTCCCGTCGATGGCCAGAGAATCCCTGGCATCTCGCTCGAATCCATCGCCAGGCAGAAGACTCTGGCGCCGGCGCCACGGCTGTCGCCGACATCAGAGCCGCCCGGCAGCGGCAGCCGACCGCGTAGAGCGCCGACGATTGTCGGAGACTCGCTCACCCGCGCCAGCTCTACCGCATCGCTCTCTCCGCGCACCGCGCCGATCCTCGGCGATGCGCTGATCGACGCCGCCGAGGCTGATGCCGACGACCAGAATGCCGATGCGCAAAACACATTCCAGCTCGGGAGCGGCGCGGGTGGGGAGATCGAGGAGCTCGCCGAGTCGCTGCAGGAGAAACTGGAGGAGCACTCTCGCGCACGCAAACGCTGGGCCTCCCTCTCCTTCCTCGAGCCGTCGCTCGAAGCTGACTTTCGGGAGCTCACGTTTCGAGGCGTCCCGTCTAGCAGAGAGGCGGCAAGAGGCGGCAGAGAGGCGGCAGAGAGGCGGCAGAGAGGCGGCAGATATCGAGCCGATTCAGTAGAGATAGAGATGCGTCGACCAAGAGCCCCCCCCGCGTCGTCGCTAGGCCACCTCCGCTCGTTCCGGATCGTGCTGCTCAGCCTGGCGCTCTTCTCGATCGCCCTCCTCATCTACGACCACCTCACCCTCTGCGCCGAGAAGGACGTGCACCCGCTGCAGGAGCCGTGGGGGCCGAATCGCCGCCGCGCCCTGCAAGAAGAAACAAACAGCAGCAGCGCGCTGCCGCTCGACCCCGTCTACTGCGGCAGCGGCACTGACTTCGCGCTGATCATGCGGGGCGCACAACTCGGCTTGCTGGTGCACGCCTGGGCGTGGACCGTTCTGCCGCAGAGGCTTCCTCCGTGCCTCGAGTGCCACCCGGCGACGGAGCGGATCTTGGTGCTGGTCGTGATGGTGCTGACCAGCTGGGGCTGGTGCATGTTCAACACCATCGCGCTCTACCAGCACCAGGTGGGCTGCGACAGCGGGAGATAGAACGGATGGCTACTTGATGACTAGCGAATGAGTAATGAACACCAGGTGGGGTCCGACGGCGGGCCCGAGGAGTCTAGCTTCAACTTCCTCTTCCTGATCGTCATGTACACGGTCTTCACACCCGGCATGCCCTTCGAGATCGTCGTCTTTGCGGGCTGGGGGCTGATGATCGTGATGGCGGCCACGAATGCCGCGCTCTGGGCCTGGGTGCGCCAAGACGACGGGAACGACTTTGCGAACAAGTGGGGCTACGTCCTCTTTGCCGAGAGCTTCAAGGAGCTCGTCGTCAACATCCTGGGCACCTTCACCACCTTCGAGCTCATCAGCGAGATGCGGTACAACTTTTGGCACGCCAACCTGCTCAAGGAGGCGCTGATGGTCTCGCGGCTCGTCCGGCGAGATATAGCCGAGATATAGCCGAGATGCAGCCGAGATGCAGCCGAGATGAGCCGAGATGCAGCCGAGATGCAGCCGAGATGCAGCCGCTGATTGTCACACGGCTCGTCCGGCGCAGCATGCACCGGCGGAGGGCCAGCGCGCAGCGAGCCGCGTCTTCACACCCTCCGTGCGAGCAGGCGCCGCATGCACCGGCTAATGACAAACACGCTCCCCGAGCCGATCCTCGCCGCCCTCGGCGGAGGGGACACCGCGTGCGTGCGCGTCTACCCCGGCACGACGGTGCTGCAGGCGGACATGGTGGGCTTCCCCAGGCTGGATCAGGACTCGTCCATGACGTGCCCCCGCACCCCGCCCCCGCAGGCGGACATGGTTGGCTTCACCAAGCTCTCGGCGACGCACCCGCCTCAGCGAGTCCTCGGACTGCTCTCGGACATCTTCGAGGCCTCCGACCGGCCGTGCGAGACGCGCCGGGTCGAGGGGTGACGAAGCAGCCAACTCTGACTCAACCATCCTTAGGACTTCGACCGGCTGTGCGAGACACACCGGGTCGACAAGGTCAAGACGATCGGAGACGCGTACATCGTCTGCGCGGGCGCGCTCAAGGAGCCTCGCGAGGACGACGCGGCGAGGATCGTGCGGATGGGGGTCGCGATGCAGGATGTGGTGCAGCGCAAGGCGGCGGCGGAGGAGATCGAGATTGCGGTCCGGGTCGGCGTGCACACTGGGCGCGTCACCGGCGGCATCATCGGCACCGTCCGGTTCCATCTTGACATGTGGGGCTGCATCTCGGCTAGATCTCGGACGGATCGCGGCTGTACCTCGGCTGTAGGTTCCACTTCGACATGTGGGGGACGGGGGTTAACGGGGCGGTTCGGATGGAGGAGACTGGCGAGAAGGGTCGCGTGCACATCTCGTCGAGCACGTGCGAGCTGCTCCAGACCTTCTCTGACCTTCCCGTGCGCCTCTTCACACGTGCAGCTGTGAACAGGTACGAGCTGCTCAAGACCTACGTCAACTGCACGCCCAACCTCCGGCGCGAGGACATCCCGCCCGCCGACGTCGAGGTTGGCATCCAGGGCACGTACTGGGTGAGCCCGGGCGGAGCAGACGACCGGGGCAGCTGCGACCTCAACGACGTGTCGGCGAGTGCGGGCGCGCGGGCGCTGCGTGCCCTCCTCGAAGGCGGCGGCGGCGACCAGCCCCAGCGAGGCGGCATGCGCTCGCTCCTCGCAAAGCCGCTCGCCGCGTCTGCGCGCGCGTCCGCGTCGATCCAAGGCCAGGCGTCGGGAGGGCGCGCGAGATAGCCGAGAGATAGCCGAGATGTGGCCGAGGTGCAGCGCCCGTGTGAGACCGAGGAGGCCTCGGGAGGCTGCGCGGTCCGCAGCGTCAGAGAGGCACACCTCACCGCTCTCCACGGCCTCGCTTGTCGACAGGTGCGCGACCAGCCCGGTGGGCGGTGCCGGTGGCGGCGGCTGGAGGTCCCTGTGGGGGGGGGGGCGGCCGCCAGGTCGCGTCGGGACGGTTCCTTCTTTTGGCTGGTAAAGAAAGGAACCGGCCGGGGGGTTCAAAGGGGGCTCCCTCCTTTCGGGGGCGGGGGCTGTGGGTTCCCTCGAGGGGGAGGGGTTTAAACCGGAAACAACCGCCGCTTAGAAATCCAGGAACCGCGCCTTCCCTCTAACCCAATTTTTTACCAAGCCTGGGGGGGGTC